TCATGCTCTGTTTCTCTCTGTCTCAAAAATAAACATTAAAAAAACAAACAAACCATGGGAGGGGTTCCTGGCCCCGGGACAAAGCGCTTCATATCGGGGTGCACTATGGAACCACACTCAGACTCTCAGGGCAGGAAGGATCCCTGAGGTCCCCTTGTCTAGGCCCTTTCACCCTGGGGCCCAGAGCAGCTGAGGCCCAGGGAAATGAGGTAACAAAATGGGATGGTCTTCTCTTCCCAGGCAGACGCTGGCCTCAAACCTCCCACTCCCTCCCCCACTCCCTCCCCCCGGGGGACTAGGCACAACCATGGCTCCTACAGTGACCTCTTTCCCCTGGGGCCTCTCGCTGCCCGCCCAAGCCGCTGATGCTGACCAAGGAAGATTTGTGAGTCCTTTAGTGCCACCGTCTAATGACCGTATGAAATATGCATGTCCGGTGAAGAGGAGAGGGAGAACTTTCATTTTTCAGATGCACGAAGCAGAATAAGAGGATGAAAAGCTGCCTCTGTGGCCCTGCCAGGGTGGGGGCAGCTAGCACCAACACAGGGGGCCTCTCGGTGCACTCGGGCCAGGGCCAGCCACAGGGGGACTCTGTGCAAGGGCTCTCACAGAGCGAGGGCTCTGTGCCTGGGAGGAGACAGCAAATCCGATCACCCGACGGCCTTGCCAGAGGCCCTCCTGGGTCCCCCGGTGTCCTCAGGGGACACACACGGGTGTCCCTGCCCTCTGGACTTTGCCGCCGGCTCAAGCCTCATCACTGAGCCAGGCTAGCCCAAGTGCAGCTCTGGGCCAGACTGGTGCAGCCCATTTGTTCCCTTTGCCAGGACCGTTTCCTTCCTCTCCCGCCTGGCTCACGCACCTCTGTCCTCCTGGGTTCCCTAAGGCTGGGTTAGGGCTCGGCCCTTCGGGAAACACTCGAAGCTCTGAACGTGCCACGGAGGACGTGCTGGGGTCACGGGGCCTGGACGGGAGGGCTCATGATCTCTGTCACCTACAGCAACATCTGCATCCACACCACCACAACATGCGGTCACACACACGTGTATAATTCTGGCCGCAGCCCTAGGAGCTAGGTACAACCCCCTGCTCCCCGCCTTTACCCAACGAGGAAGCAGACAGGGTTCTAAGCGTGTAACTTGCCCAAGATCTCATGGCTGGTAAGTGGCAGAGCTGGCCTCCAAATCCCTCTGTGTTTAAGACCGTCCAGGGGCGCCTGGGTGGCGCAGTCGGTTAAGTGTCCGACTTCAGCCAGGTCACGATCTCGCGGTCCGGGAGTTCGAGCCCCGCGTCAGGCTCTGGGCTGATGGCTCGGAGCCTGGAGCCTGTTTCCGATTCTGTGTCTCCCTCTCTCTCTGCCCCTCCCCCGTTCATGCTCTGTCTCTCTCTGTCCCAAAAATAAATAAACGTTGGAAAAAAAAAAAAAAAAAAAGACCGTCCAGCACCTTGATGGGTAGGCAACCCCCGAGTCTGTCCTGCGGAAGCCAGGGGGCGGCTCAGCCGTGCGAGCTGGTCCAGTGGAGGGCG